GACAGGGCTGTCACAGACTGAATTGTGGCAGCAAGATCCCCAGTCTTTTCTGAGTACCACCTTGTGGCCAGTTCTCTGCTTGGTGCTTTGGAGAAATTGAAGATACTAGAAAAATAAATGGACAGATAGATGATTCCCACTTTCTGGGTGTACAAAGTCAACATCCCAGAGGCTGGAGACACATGCATACTCAAGAGACCCCACCCCTACCACACTTTCCATATATCATGCATGTATCCTTATAAGGGAATATAGGCCTATGCTCATGTTCCCATGCCCCCTACGCATATGTATTTACACACCTATTCACACATTTATTTTAGAACAAGTTTCCCGAGTCTTGTGCAAGCTGTGGCTTGGGCCAATGTGTGTTCTACATGCAGCCTGGCCCCTCCTCTCATCTCCCCCTAAGGCAGGGTTTGTCTGGATGATCTCTCAAAAGTCCTGTTCTCCTTCTAGCCTTTCCTTAGCAGCAGGGTCCTCCAGGGTGATAACATCATCTTCCTGAGCCTCTGTTTCCTCCACTTGCAAATTGGAGTTAACGATCCCCACCCTGCTTACCTCACAGGGTGGCACCAAGCATTCCCAGGAGATAAAGGTCAACAGAGTGTTTTGTAAACTGCAGATTGTTTTTCCAAATTACCAACTGCTATCATTTTCTCAGCTCTGAAACTTACGAATTCCTCCATCCTTAAGTGAGCTTTGTTCTTAGCACAAGGTGGTGAGGAGTCCTGGCTGTTCCAAGGCCTCCTTCTTCCTGGTGTTGCTGTGGAGGCCTGAGCCACTTGGGACTAAACTTTTTCTAGGGTTGGGGATTTGGCTCAGTGGTAGAATGCTTGCCTAGCAAGCTGGAAGCCCTGGGTTGAGTCCTTGGCACACACACACACACACACACACACACACAAAACCAAAAAGCAAAAATGAAACAAAAAAACCCTAAAAAAAAAATTCAACCAAAAAAAAAAAAAACAAACAAAAAACAGTAAAATCAAAAAAGACCCAAAACAAACAAGGCAACTAAACTTTTTCTGAGGTTTATTATTGTCTGGTGAGGTCAGCAGGGGTCCTAGCCATCTAGCTAGCAGCCTGGAGCAGGTGAGGGAGATTGGCAAAGGAGGATGAAGGGACAAGAGGAGGTGGAAAACAAGGTATCATATGCTGACTCCAGAAAAGTTATCATTTGTTTAAGAAAGTGTCACCTCAAATTTGATTCTCATTGAGTTATAGTGGGTCCACACCTCAACTCCAGCCAGGAGCCTTCTTGCTTGGAAGAAACCCAGGGTTAATGTGTCAGGGTGTACCTGCCCGTTGAGTACTAGTTGGAGCTATAGAGCTGACATAGATGTCATAGCTGTCATCCCATGGTGGATCCTTGGGAAACTCAAGAGACATTGAATCAGAAGCAGGCAGGCACTGATACAGAATCTGTTTGTCATAATGCCCTCCCTTATTCTTCTAGCTGTGACTGGGGACCAAGGGACTACTGCCCATAACAAGTAGTACCCACTGGGCTCAGGTACGTAGATATGTAGTCCATGGAGATTCAGGAGCTGTTCCATCAGGGTAGTATAGTAGGAGTACCTACTGCAGGAATTTTGCAGAGTCCTCTGACCAGAGGTTCCCTTTGTGTTGTCCTCAGTCTGGCCCAAGCCCTGTAGCTTCTTGCTGGGGAAACAGTCCCAGGGAGGAAAAGGTGCTAGTCCAAGGTCATGCTGAGAATAAGGGTAGAACCTGAGCCTCCTTGGCTCTATACTCATTCCCACACCTAGGAAGATGGAGTTTTTGCTTGAGGACACCTTTTATGAAGGATAGTGTTCAGACATGTGGTACCTGCATGAATGAAGCCAACGAACAATGTCTGGTGGATTGGAGCAGCCCTGATGGCCCCCTGGAAGAGGAGGTAAAATCTGGTTCACCAGAGTGTAGATGAGGTACAAGCCTCCCTGGAGCAAGATGTCTCCCCTTTGTTGAGCCTGTGAGGGAGAGGGGTTCTGTCATGTAGTCTTATGTTGTCCTCCTGATGCATTTTGAATTTCTTCCCCTCCATTCTCAATCTGATGAGGATGGCAGCAGGGTGCCAGCCTACCTGGGGAAATACCTGTGTGATCTGGAACTGGTTATTCCCTCCTCTGTGCCTCAATTCCTCATCTAAAAAATGTTAATGTAGTCCTTTTGTTCTAATATCTATAATGTGCTCCAAACAGAGCCAGGTGCATAGAAAGTGTAACTTACTCTCTTCTATCTGTGTGTGTTTGTTTTAAGAGTTAGCAAAGGAACAAATTAATTTTAGGTTGTGAGTGAGGACTGCATGGAAGGTGAAAGGATGATGATGTGGGATCTTTCTGAGAAGCTAGGATTGTTTCCTATTTTGATGGGGTGTGGGTCCTGAGATGTGTACAGTTGTCAAAGCTCATTGAACTGTATATATATTTACATATACATATATTTCATAGTGAAGGGACTCTTCAGGTCTCTTTTTAGACCAGGTGGTCAGGGCAGGAATATGAGGAAACTGAGACTTTAAGAGAATGGAGCTTTTAATGTTCAGGATTATTAGGAGTCAAAAGTAATGGCTCAGGGGATTTCTTGGCACTGGGCAGGAACAGGCTTAGGTCCACGCCTCAGTCCTGTGGTCTCCTCTGAAGAGAGTGGAGGAAATATTTGCCATGTTTTCTGAGGAAGCCCTCTCCATGTCTTATGCTTGTTCTCAGGGCCACCTTGGCACTAAAGAAAGACTATTTAATCCATTTGGCAATGAGTTCTTATCCCAGGGAGTGTGCAGGGTCCAGGACATGGATCAGCTCTAACTCAGGGCTGCTCTACCTGCTCCCCCAATTCAGCAAAGCACAGGGGAAAGTCCAGATCTGGGGCTCCCGGCACTTCTGAGGCCATCTGTCTTCTCCCTTTCCTCCCTTCCACACCTGTGAGGCTCAGCCAGCACCTCTGACTCCCAGGTTTAGCCAACCTACCTCTGCCCTCTTGCTGCTCTTAACTTCACTGTGGAACAGGGGAAAAAACTCTGCAGAGGTAGCAGGAGGACTTTCCAGAGGTAGAGACCTCTGGACTTTGTCTAGAAGTTTCCTTAAAAAGAACCTGAGCCAATGGAGGGCAGCGGGCAAGAATCACATGGTAGTGACCAACACAGACACACACTTTGAGAGTGAGGCTTGTTTGGGAACAGCAAGTGGATCATTCTGGGAGAAGAAGGCCATCCTGGATGCCTGGAGTACGAAAAGGTAGAAGTTTTCTGTGTTCACAGGAAGAAGGCAAGAGGGGGAGAGGCAGGGCTGAGGAGCTCACTGAAAGCCTTCAGCTGCAGACTTGAGGTTTATGAGAGAAGAAAGAGGAATCTAGTCTGAGGATGAGATGCCAGACGGGAGCAAAGTCAGGAGGGGTACAGGAACCAGCTTGGATGAATTGACAGAGATGGTCGGTTCAGGCTAGGGAGCAGAGGAAGAGGGCAGTGGAGGATTAGGAGGTGAAGAAGCAGAGGATGTGAGGGAGTGTATGTAATGGTGCATCTTGGGTTCTGTTCCACCCCTTAGGACATGGTGGACACAGGCTGTCGAATTAAAGGGGTGGCAGCCCTCTGTTCCTGGTGTAGAGTGAGAAGCTGGTGTTTGGATGCTATGTGGGCATGGACCTCAAGGGTATTAGGCACAGGTACTGTAAGCAAGACTGCATGGTGTATAGGCAGTGCCCCTATACTCAACCCTGGCCTGAGTAATGGTCAGGTTGAGTTAACCTGAACAGAGATCCTGACCCCTGCTGCCTAATGCCTACCTTGCTGTGATGGGTCTCATGGGGGATGACTCTGTTATTACTCTGTTTGACAGAGTTGTGGGCTACAGCTTGGTGCTGTGCTGCTTTCCTGAGATCACACTGAGTCACTGGAAGATTCAACCTCAAACCTTGTTCCACTCCACCCAACTGTCATCTCTTTCACTGAAGTCTTCCTTGCTGTGTCCAGCTCCACCTGAGTCCTTTCATGGGGACTGTAGGCATGGCATGAGGGTGCAGCCTTCACAACCATGTCACCTTGAATGTCCCCATTTCTCTAGCAGTGAAGGTGGCATTTTCCTACCTTCCCTGCATAGTAGCTCCCAGGGAGGCTACAGAGTTACCTTGGAAGCAGAATACTGGGAGGTCATGACCAAGCAACTCATTTTAGAAGCACTTTTCTCGATAGTGACAGTTTTATTCAGGCACCCACTTCTGGAGAATTTGAAGTCTTAATTCCTTTAATTCCTCCAGGAGTATACCCTTGTCTCCCCACCACTTGAGGTGGGGTCCCAGAGGGATGGACAGGGGAACACAGTCCTCACCCTTTCCACAGGAAGTTGTTTTCAGGAAGTCACTTTCTGGTCCTAGCAAGTTTTTGGTTATACTGAGACTTTGAGAAGATTTGCATGCCAGTCACCTCCCCTCAACTCGTGCCCCTGCCCTAGCCTTTCTTCACATCCTCCACATTCACACATGTGCTAGACAAGGAAAGGATTGTGAGGTGGTATCCCCGAAGACCTAGCATTTACTGGGTGCCATCCTGTATACTTTCCATATACGAAGTTCAACCCTATCCTGAGGAAAGGGACACCATATCATCCCCACTGTCAGAATGAGGCCTAAGGGATACATGTTCCCTGGCCTGGGTCTCCTGGTTGATATGTGATTTGACTATGAACCCAGCTTGATTTCCATTTTATTTGTTGCCCCTGAGAAAGAGGCAGAGTCTTCTCTAGTCTTGGAGCCCCTCCAGTCTGTCAGTTACCTCCCAGGGATTCCTGGAGTTAAAGACCAAGATGCTTATATCCAGAGCTGACCCCCAAGTCCAGAGAGTCATGGACTACATGGCAGGGAAACCTTGGCTGAAGTCTTCATTCTGCTCCTCACAAGCTTCATGACCTTTGACAGGGCACAGGTCTCTCTGAGCTTCCATGTCCTTGTCTGCAAAGTAAGGCAACAGGCTGTGTGGCTGATACCTTCTCTGTCACCACTCGCAGCTCCTGTATGATAGCCCCAAGGCCCGGCAGGAGGTGGACCACCACTGGCAGGCCTCAGGTGGCCCCCACATTGTGCGCATCATGGACGTGTATGAGAACATGCATCACGGCAAGCGCTGCCTCCTCATCATCATGGAATGGTATGCTGCTAACCTGCCTGGTGCTCCTTCAGTTTCCCTGCATGTCAGGCTCCCTGCCAGTCTTCCAGGGCTTTCTCTGTTCTTCAGACAGTAGCTCTGGGTACCACCCAGCCCTTGAAAGATGGCAGAGTGGGTAGCCATAGGCACTGTTGGCTGCCAGGGAACTCCCTCCAGGGTGGGAAAGAGGCCACACAACTCTCCCATGACCTCCCTGGGCAAAATTTCCACTCTGTGAGGAGGGCTGGGAGAGCTGCCAGAGAAGGTTGCCAAGCCCTGGACTTCGAGGGTAGAGGATCTGATGAAGAGTGTGGCCCACATAGTTCCCTCAGCTTTTTCCTTCCTACTGGGTTTGTGCTCCCATGGTCCCACCAGATGCCAAGAGATGAGACTGAGGACTAGGAGCTGTAGCCTCTTCCATCTGGGATTCTGCCACTGGCACTTGCACCTGTGATCCAGCCTTTCTCAGACCCTAGGGCTCACTTTGGCTTTACTTCCTCCCTGTCTTTCATGTCCTTCCTGTTTCCACAGGTCAGCCAGCTTTTTAGAGTTGGGTTCAGATCCCAACTCTGTTGCCCCCTGGCTGTGTGACTGTGAGCAGCTCCTAACCTTTCTGAATCTATAACTCCCATGTAAGATGTGGAAGATGATCTTGAAGTAGCATTCACTCTGAGCTTATCTCTGTTCAGAGTGCCTGTGTGTATCACATATTCAGTGTTCATGAGTCTATGAGGTTGGTGCTATGATCCCCCTTTTACAAAAGAGGAATCTGAGCCACAAAGAGGTGAAGGAACTAGTCCAGGATCATATAACTGTGCACTTGAAGGGCACAGTGTACAGTAGAGAACAATGATACATTATGATGGTAATTGATATCTCACTCCACATTTGGGGAGATAGACTTGGGCAAGGTTTGAATGTCCTAAGTTCTCAAAGTCAAATGAAGGCAGTACTCCTGGGAAGAGAGGAGCTTCCTGGTAGGAATCTTAGCTTCTTACCTTCCCTTGGTTCTAAAAATTCAGATCAACCCACCCAAACTGACAGCCCACTATGCATCATGTTCTCCAAGGCTCTGGGAAGCTGATAGTAGTTAAGGAAAGGTAGGGCTTGGAGGCCAGGTTTCTGAGCCAGGAAAGGGGCAGGTGGGTATCTCATTCCCTCTGTTCATAGTCATCTTCTCTTGCAGCATGGAAGGTGGTGAATTGTTCAGCAGGATTCAGGAGCGTGGTGACCAGGCATTCACCGAGAGAGGTACGTGCAGGCCGCTGAACCAGCGCGGGAAGACAAGGTGAGAAGGATGTGCCACAGTCGCTGTGTGATGCTGGGAAAGGCCCTGTTCCTCTCTCTTTCCATCAGAACAAGAGAGGCTAAGACAGAATGTTCAGTCTCTCTAAGAGTTTCAAGGAGTTTGTAACACCTTATTGGAGATACAGTCTCTATGGCTCTGGGAGCCTCTTGGTGCTAATCCACTGTGGATCTTGGCAAGGTAGCCTAGGTTTGAAGAAAGAGGCCCAGGTGGGTTGAGAGCATCCTTAGAGGAAACTGGGGTATCTGGGGTGAGGGTCTAGGATGCAGTCACAGGACTCTTGTCATCTTGTACTGTCCTGGTATATCGGCCCAGGTTGCCTGATCCTTGACTTGTATCAGTGACCTCCCCATCTATGTCTGCAGAGGCTGCAGGGATAATGCGGGACATTGGCACTGCCATCCAGTTCCTGCACAGCCAGAACATTGCCCATCGAGATGTCAAGGTAAGGCTCCAGGATGTAGGCTGGGGGATCAGGGAAGGCAGTTTTATATTATTCCATAACTTCTGATGGCTCCCAGCATCCTCTTTGGTCAGCATTCAAGGCCTCTGCTCCCTGGCCAGACTGTTCTCAGCCTCTCCTCCTGTAGCTCTGGAACACTCATTCTGCTCTGCCAGATGGATCTTGTTGTTTCCTCCAAACACTGTAATCCTGGTAGTAATAAGAATAACCAACTGCCTGCCTCCTGCCAATAGACAGTGACAGCATCTTACTGAATGCTGATCTGGCATTATATGATAGGGATCACTACCCATTCCACAGATGAGCAAATTGAGGCCCAGAGAGAGAGAGAGAGATAGATAGATAGATAGATAGATAGATAGATAGATAGATAGAGAGATTAAGTGGCTTGCCTAAGGCATGCAGCTGCTGCCTGAGACACCATCCATCCACCCACATCCTCAGCAAGATATTTTGTGACTATGTAATATGCCGGGGCTCAGGAAGGGCCTGCCTGATGCTGTTGTCTTCAGTGGGTTCTGAGTTATAGTTTTAGCAGATTCAGTCTTCAAACACTAGCCTTTAACAGAAAGAATACAATACTCAAGTATACCCAGTTATTGGATCTGTTTGTCTTCCCAGGAATATTCTGGAAGCTCAGTGCTTTAAATTTCTTCTTCTGGGAAGACTGAGTGTTTCCAGGCAGCCCTACATGTACACACATGCATGTGCCCACATAAACATACATGTGTGAGCCACCATCATAGCAGAATCAGCTTTCTGTGGTCCTTACCCAAGCCTGGAGCATTATTCTTCTTAGTTTGAGTCAGAGAAGTGCTGAGGGCAACTGCTGCATCAGGTTCTTCCTTTGGCTGAGTGGTAACAACCTATAAGTTATCCTTTGACTCAAGAGGACAGCAGCCCCACATCTGAATTCTTGCTTTGCTTTGGCCCTGGCTTCTCTTTCTTCTAAGGGAAGAAAAGCCTTCTGTCGAGCAGATGCCTTTGTAAACACTAAACCAGCTTCTCTATTTTTATCCCAATCCAAGGTCACATTGTCTCAAATAAAACCTGGGAATGGAGCTCCATCCAATACCCTGCAGAGTTTGGGGTTCCCTCCTGTACCTTAGCATGGGCCTCAATCCTACTCATTAAAAGTCAGCTTTGGAGCTGCTTCTTTGATGTAACTTTCCCCCACTGTCACTATTGCCAGGCTTGTCTATCCTTTGAAACTACTAAGAACTGCCTCTGTGCAGGGTCTGAGCAGTAGGGGCCTTCTCCCCCGGGCAGCCTCAGGTGGGGCTGGCCTGCTAGCCTGACAGATTTCCTTCAGGGCTGGGTGTTGGATACATGCTTGGCAATAGTACTGGCTTCTGATCAATCTGCCTCCCCATACACCCTCATTCTGGTGTTTTGTGGCAGCCTTACCAACTTAGTGATATGAGTTCCTGGCTCCATGTGCTCCGTGGCACTTAGTCATTCACAGCCTTAGCCCAGTACCTTCCTCACTTTCCCCTCGGTGAATATAGATGTCATCTCCTAAGCATCTCTGTATTTGCTACATGTTTTTGTTGGCTAAGGCCCAGATCTTTTATGAGATAGGTGGGCCTTACTGCTCCTGCATTGTGATGGAGGTGGAAAGTCAATAAAAACTGCCTTGAGGTTCTGCCCCTATCTGCTCCCTAACTCACTCCACATGTTTTCTCTTATTTGCCCAGCCTGAAAACTTGCTCTACACTTCCAAGGAGAAAGATGCTGTGCTTAAGCTCACTGACTTTGGCTTTGCCAAGGAGACCACCCAAAATACCTTACAGACACCCTGCTACACTCCCTACTATGTGGGTGAGTCTTTGGTACATGGTTTGTAGCTCCCCACCTGCACCATATGCTGCTATGCTTTCGGGCAGCCTGAGAGTTGTGGAAACAAGAGAGTTAAAGCCTAAGAAGAAGGGAGGGCAAACTCTGTCTGTATGGAGGCGGGTGACGTGGGGGGCCGGAGGCTGCAAAAATATTCTCCCAAACTTCAGCTTCTGCCTTTGAAAATAGATCCAGGAAAATTCTGGCTGTGGCCTGTGAGCTGAATGACATCACAGCAGCGCTAAATATATATGTGATAAAAGGCTGCCATCAGCTTGGGACAAAGCCCAACCGGTTGTTTTTCTCTGGTTTTCAGCTTCCTGGGAGTCATTTGCAAAAGTAGGCAGGCCTTTCCCCCTACATTAGAGGGATGCAGGGTACTAGTCACCTGCTTTGTGGGAGAGAGCTAGGACTGTGGGGTGGTTGGGGGGGTGTGTGTATTCATACTCGTGCGGACAGCTATGCTCCAAGAAGCCCCTAGATCTGAAAAGGCCTCTGGTGAAAGTACCCCTTACTCTTAAGCTGGTGCTGAAAGGGCTTTTCTTTAGGAGAGGGCTTGAGGGGCTGCTGAAGGGGAGGGGCGTTCCTGAGACAGCTGAAATGGCACCCTGTTTGCTAGGATGAATGTAGCAGTATTTTAACCTAGAAATCTTCTGGATTGCCGACCTCTTTGCATGTATGAGAAAACCCAGGTCCAGTGGGCTAATCCCCAAGCTGACGGTGGAGTGCAGAGCCCTGCTCCTTGCCCGTGACTTCACTGTGCTCAGAGAGGCTAGGGATTCAGGGCCCTCTCACCTATGGCAGACCTCACCAAGCTCCAGACTGGCCTCCCCCACTGACTGCTGTCACCAAGGTCAAGATTGGCAAAGGGGCTTGGGGTCCAAAGGAGCTAGGGAGCTGTCTGAAAGCAATTTAGTTTTTCTGGGAGCTGCTTCTGCTCCTTCAACTTCACACACATGCTGCCTTCTCAGAAGGTGCCAGACACGTCTGCTGTGTCCTACCTCTTAGCTCAGGCACCTGCTCCTCACTTTGATCAGGCTTCGGGCTCTTGCCTAGGCCCTAACTCTCTATGTCTTCTTTCCTGGCAGCCCCTGAGGTCCTCGGTCCAGAGAAATATGACAAGTCCTGTGACATGTGGTCCTTGGGGGTCATCATGTACATCCTGTGAGTACCACTGTCACTTTCCTTCTTGGTCTCCTGCCTCCACCTATATCATGTATCTTTAGTACTGCTTTGTTCCTCAATCTCTGTGTCTTTAATGAAGGGCTTGTGTGTGTCCTCCCTTGGGCAGGTTGTCCTTCCTTTCTGGTCACAAGACTCTCTTCCTTCTATCTGCCTAAGGGTCTGCCCATGGTGAGGGTGATGGTGCTCGTGGGCTGTGCCTGGGAATCCAGTGGGCTGGTGTATTGTCATGGTGTTGGGCTACCTGTCCCTCAGTGAGGGGCTTGGATGGAAAATGGGTTTACCTGAGCACTGTCCCCCGTCCTGATGCTGAATGACCTCCTCCCTCCCCCAGCTTGTGTGGCTTTCCACCTTTCTATTCCAACACGGGCCAGGCCATCTCCCCAGGGATGAAGAGGAGGATCCGCCTGGGCCAGTATGGCTTCCCCAATCCTGAGTGGTCTGAGGTCTCTGAGAATGGTGAGTCAGTCTTTGTGCCTCCTGTAACCCACATGGACCTCATTCTGGGAGACATCCCTTTGGAGCAAAAATGACCCGTGTTCCTAGCTGTGTGACCCTAGGAAAATCACCCAACCTTTTCAAGACTCAGTTTTATATCTGCCAAAATGGGCTTAAAACTTGCTTCTTAAAAATCCCCTCTAGGGCCAGGGAGATGGCTCAGTACAATAAGCACTTGCATGGTAAGCACAAGGTCCTGAGTTCAATCCCCAGTACTGAAAAAAAAAAAAAAAAAAAAAAGTCCCCTCTAACCTCTGTTCCTCATTCACATTTTCCTATCTGGGACCATGAACAGGTTGGCATTGTATTAGTTACCTATTAACAAATGATTCCAAACACTTAGTGGCTTAAAACAGGAAATAGTTATTAGCTTGTTGTTTCTGCAGGTTAGGGACTTGGTAGCATATGCATCTGTAGGCTTACAAATCTTGCGCTCTGTGAGGAGGGGTGGGGGACTGCAAACTCATTGCCCTCCTCTCTTTCCTGGCTCCTCTAGCCAAGCAGCTGATTCGGCTACTGCTGAAGACAGATCCTACTGAGAGGCTGACCATTATGCAGTTCATGAACCATCCCTGGATCAATGTGAGCACCCACAGCCAGCAGGATGTTGAGCTGGAGCAGAGCTGCCAGCCATGAGGGTGGTGGCTCTGGAATCTGGGGTATATGCTGAAATGGGCCCCTAAACACATGTGTAATAGCTCCCCGCCTACAGCCTGGTGTTGATACTGCCCTAATCAGGTTTCTTCACCTCTCTGAGCCTTGGTTTCACCATTTGAGTGAGACTGGGAGAAGCAGGCAGATTGGGGATGGCTAGGGCTGTTGTCCATGCCTCCAGGCTCTAATCCAGGGGCTTGGGGATCCTTCCAGCAATCAACGGTGGTTCCACAGACTCCTCTCCACACGGCACGAGTGCTGCAGGAGGACAAAGACCACTGGGATGAAGTCAAGGTATGTAGACTCTGCCTTAGTCTGCAGTTTCCAGGGTGACAGCTTCCCAGAGTATGGGTGTTTGGTTCCTTCTTTTTGTCTGGAGCTCAACATGTCAGTGACTGCCCCAGTCATCTACATATGGCACTCTAAGTATTGGGCTATGCCGTTTAGAGTGGTGTTCCTAGCTCATGCCCTCAATGAACAGGATTTTGGCCCCCCCAAAAAAAGTGATGACCCCTATCTTTTGACTTAGAAGATACCATGTTTGGTCATAGGGGATGGCAGCTAAGAACCCTGGGCTACCCAGCCTGTAGGCTGAAGGCTCAGAAAAATAGCACTCTCTGAGCAAATGGCACTGGCTCAGCCCTTTGTCTCACTTAACCTTGGTGTGATTGTAGGGAGTTGCAACTTTTCTATACCCTATTGGATGAGCTCAGTGTCTGCCATTGAGGAGTTAGAGAGGATTATGAGACAGAAAGCACCAGGCACAGTGGCCGTGGGGGCAACAGGGCCTGTCACTGTTGTCACTAAGGGGCTGCCTAGGTAGGAGAGTAATGGCTGTTAAGGTCAGTTCATCTTGACCTTTCTTTCCTCTGTGCCATCTGTTCTCAGGAGGAGATGACCAGTGCCCTGGCCACCATGCGGGTAGACTATGACCAGGTGAAGATCAAAGACTTGAAGACCTCTAACAACCGGCTCCTTAACAAGCGGAGAAAGAAACAGGCAGGCAGCACCTCGACTTCACAGGGTTGCAACAACCAGTAGTCCATGGGGCCTTGGAAGAGCAAGGCCTCTCAACCGGGGTGACAGACTGCATTATGCTGAGGCTATACCAGAGGGCTCAGAGTCATTCTTTGTTTGATTTGTTTTGCTTTTTGAGACAGGGTCTCACTGTAATGCAGGATGGGCTTGAACTCACTAGGAAGCCTAGGCTGGCCTTGAATTCACTGTAATCTTCTTATCTCAGCCTCTGAGTGCTGGGATTACAGGTGTGTGCCACCACACCTGGCAGGGTCATTCTTTTAACACAAGGATTATTTTGTTGTTTTTTACTTGGAACTTTGAGTTGGAAGACCCTGACCCAAAATCTTCAAAGTCCCAGCTCAGACTCTGGCCCAGAGAGGCGCAGAATTTAGGGGCTAGGGAACCCCTTGCTGAATAGAAACACTTTTGGCTAGGTGGGACATGTTCTGCTCTGCCCTACGGGCATGACTTTAGCCTTCTAGGCCACTGGAAATTGTGGCTGGGTTTCCCTTCATCAAGGGAAATACCTTCCTGCTGGGTGGTCAGATAGGCTTGACTCTGAGAAAGGCATCTGCCATTGGTTGCCATGGTTATCAGGGCCAACATTAGTGCCTGAATGCTGAATATGTAAAAACGAGGGAAGAAGGACAATCAAGAGTCTACCTCTGTCTTCTTGGAGAGTCTGGTCTCTCACACTAACTGCCTCCCTGAAGCTCATCCCCCGTTGGTCTCCCTGAGGCTTCAGAGTCTTACTTGCCTGCCTCTTTTGGTGGTCCAGTGCTGTCTTGCGGCAGCCTGAATCCAGATAGCACTGAGGGCTTTCCCTCAGGAGTCTCTGGGTCAACCATCCTGTCACTACCTGCTACTCAAAGGGTGGTTTTTCATCTCAACTAAAAAAGGGGATATCTTTAACCCTTTCTCACTTTGGAAAATGTCACTGTGACAAAAGTCCCCAGCCTCACCTCGCCAGATCTGCCCTCACCAAATCCCAGGTTGGAGAGCCCCGATGGTATACTTTTGTGAGAGGGTATAGTTGGATTCCCATTAATCAGGCATCTCTTTCCATGCTCTAGGTCAGATCTGAGGTGATAGAGGGCTACTGAGCTGTACTTAGAAAATCTGATCCTGGTTTCAACCTGAGTTGGAACAGAGAGGGCTCTTTCTGGCTGACTCAGGGTTATCCAACTCCACCCCACCCAGAACATCCTTGAGGTGCTTAAGTACTTGATAGAGGGCCTGACAAGTGCCTGACACTCAGCCTAGTTCTTGGTTCCTGACTTCCCTCACTGGCTGGGAAACAATAGACCAGCAATGGTGAACCTTTTAGACCTTTCAGTGATACAAACAACCTGAGGAGGATGCATGCTATAGGTTCACCACCACTACTGTAGACCATGTCAGCCCGGACAGTGCTGGCTGCCGGGGGTTTTATATCCAGATATTAATAAACACCATTTTGACATTTTCTCCTGGTCTCTGGGCTTCTCTTTGTTTACATGGATAGACATAAGTTGCCAATGGACAGCTCTATACTCCACTAGTGATTTCACTCTGGCTGGGGACTGTGCACAGGTTTGGTAAACATGCCTGGCTGACTCCAGAGCCACTACAGCCTCACTAGGCGTGAAAAGGTCAAAGAGGCTGGGAGATGGCAGCTGCCACATGCTCCCAGCTCTGTGCCGCCCCTGTGCACTGTGTGACACCCACTCTTGGCCCTGTGTGTGCCAGCGTCTGCCCACAGTGGCCACCCCCAGCTGTGTGCCAGCCTGCTGAAGGGCAGGCAGAGTGCCTGCTGCAGCACTGAGCTATTTTCAGAAGCTGCCAGATTTCATTTGGCAGCAAGAATATCAAGGAGGGGAGGGGGCGGGGTACTGGAAGATTTTTTTTTCACTACTCCAGCAAGAGCACACCCTCACCCATTGGGAGCCCTTGCGGGCAGCCTCAAGGGAGCTCTCACTGTGGCATTTCTTCCCCAGCAGCAATCTTGAAACCTCTCAGTTTTCTAAGAGCTCACCTGCCATTGGCATCACTTCTCTCCCCTCCCCCAGGGTGTGGGGGAGGGTACAGAGTTATAAGAAGGCAAGATGGCACTCAGGAAATGTTTTGATGCTTCCCAGCCCAGTGACCTTGGACAAGTCCTTCAGTTTCACTCACCTCCATCCATTCCTGCAGCTTGTGTGCTAAAGAGGAGAGTGCCCTGCCTCAAAGAGTCACCTGGGGGTTTGAGCAGAGGATGTATGGGAAGCACTTAGTGGTGTGCCTGAGGCATGGTTCATGCCCAACCTCTGTTAACCACCCCAGCGTCTTTACCCATCAGGAAGGTGAGAAATACCTAAAGTTGTCTGAAGGAAAACAAGTGCAATGCGAGATCTATCTCTGGGACTTTTTGTGCAGAAAATCAGGCCGTCTCCACTTACAGGTGTCCCTCTCAAGGGCTTGCCCTCCTGGATAACATCATGGGGGCCTTCTGACCCTCAGTTCTAGTCCTATACTTCAAAGGAGGGTGAATTTGAGGATCTCTATAGAATCTGTGTTTCAACTCAACTCTTCTATCGTATTTTCTAAGTCTGGTGGAATGTTGGCCAGACTCAGAGATGTGTGGAGCCCATCTAGTGACAGAGTTACAGGATGCAGAGGGACTTTCTCACTTGGCTCTGAGCACTCACTGCACCTGCAACTCCATGCTGAGTGCAAAGAAGGCAGCAGTGAAAATTCCATACAGGGTGTTTACCCAAGAGCTTACATTCATGGAGGGGAAGGACAAAACAATATATAAATGTATATTGAATTGTGGCCTAGATGTGGTGTGTGAAGGAAAGAAATGGTCCTAGCAAGAAAAGGTGTCCTGGGGCAGTTTAAACCAAGGAAGAGTTGATGTACCTGGGAGGCCAAAAAAGTGCCTGATAGGCTGCAGGATTGAAAGCAAGATCTTGGCACAGTGCCTGGGACTGTCTGCCCCTTGGTGCTGCCATTGTAGGCTTCTCTCTGGGGCTGGCCTTGATCTCCCACTGTAACAACCTTCTGTACAGGTAAGACCACAGCTGCAGAAGTCTTGGAGGAGATTGTCATCTGATCAAGTATCCACCTACCAGTCCTAAGGAAGGATTCTTGTTGGTCACATTTGGCCCTTTGCTGTTGGGAGGGCAGAGCATGTTCCTTCCTGTGACCAGGTTGAAAAAGGCTGTTAGAGCAGGGGAGATGATGGAAGGATTGTCCTTTTATCTCTCGTTTTTGCCCAGTTACTTCCAAGAGCTCATGAGGAACCTGGCTTCATAACAAGCCCAGCCTAAAGCCTAACCCCCTTACCTCTGGGTATAGATGAAGTTCTCACAAACTAGGACTGGGAGGTTAGATTCCTGGCCAACTAACATTCCTTACTGGAAGCAAAGCCCTGACATCAGCTGCTGTCAGGTAAGCTATGAAGCCAAGTGAACACATGTTTGCATCAGCTAATCCAGGCATTTACATGCTCTCTGTAGTGACTTCCTTGGGAATTTGAAGTAAAGAATTCCTTAAGAGGGGTGGGTGTGTGTGTGTGTGTGTGTGTGTGTGTGTGTGTGTAGAGAGAGAGAGAGAGAGAGAGAGAGAGAGAGAGAGAGAGAGAGCCAGCCTGGACTCTGTCCTGAACCTGATGCTGGCTGACTTCCAGCAGCCTGGCTCATTGCTCTTCCATACCAGGCTCTCTCCACCCTTGCCCTCTGTTCAGCCCCTCCACTGCAATATCAGAACTGAGCCTCCAAATGCAGCTTACTGCAGCCTCTGCAAGGGTCTCAATGCTTTCAGGACTGCTTAAAATGTTCCCTAGTGGGAATGGGAGGTTGGCAAAGAGGTCTGTGTGGCTGTCTCCAGACCTGGTTGCCTTAGGCTGAGCTTCTGAATTCCTAATGGGTCCTCATAGCTAACTTCAAGCCCATCAGAGTAAAATTCTTCCTTTTGTCCTACTAGGCTGCTAGCATGCTTACTCTCTATAATTGAGCAGCAGACAAGAAACCCACCACCCTCCTGTGTGTGGGATGGATGGAGTCCTTGGTCAAAGCTAATCTCATTTTGAGGATCCCATCAGTAAAATGAAATGTTGATTAAAGAGGATCAGGTTTCCTGTAATCCCCGTACTTTGGAGGCCCATGCAGGAGGATTGCCACAAGTACAAGGCCAGCCTGGGCTACATAGTGAGTTCAAGGCCAACCTGAACTACTCAGTGAGACTGTGTCTCAAAAACAAACAAACTCGAAACAACAAATAGAACAAAACAAGAAAGAGGGCCAGGTTAGTACAGCACCCTTGGCAGATATGTTGCCACCAGATGATGGTCTGTGAAGAATGCTCTGGGGACTAAGGAGGACCATAGACTTTGTAATGATTCAGTTTCCTTGCTTGAAGGAGTCTTACTTACAAAGGTGGGGCAGGGGTATGGTGGAGCAGGTAGGAAGGAGGGGAGAGCGTAAAGGCCTTGGTTACCAGATGTGTTCAGGGATGGATCCAGCTTCCCAGTACTATGCTCTACTGTCGGTTTCCCCTGACCTGGAGAAAGTTGCTGGTGACTCAAGGAAACCCTGATTCCTGGGACTCAGAGGAATAGAGCCAACAAAGCAGGTTATTTGGGGTGTGGGGCCACCTGCTGGTCACCCGTGTAAGTATTCCGTGGACACCTACTATGTGCCAGTGTTTGAAGGAATTGTGGGTTGGGGATAGACCACAACATCATCATGAACAGCTGCTATTTATTAAATGCCTACTGTGTGCCATCACTGTGCTGTTTGTGCCTTACCTTACTTAGTTCTCATGCTTTCATTTTTCAGAAAAACTGAGCCCCAGTCTCTTAGCTATTGCCTTCTCTGCTAATGGAGGCCATCCAAAAGGAAACGTGACCCAGAAAGCTTTCCAGATGTGGTGACAATGTGAACACAAGTGCAAGTCAGACTTAAAGTGACAAGATTTAGGGAAAAGTTATTGCTGCTGACAGGTGCAGGGTAGAACAAGGTGTTTTGTGTGCAGAACTAAGAGTAAGTTTGTTTAACAGGTGAGAGGCAGCTACAGCAAGGGTATCTTTCATTTTCTCATCCCTTTCCTGCAGGAAGTCAGAGTAAGGTGCTCCGAGCAAGACAGTGGGCACCTGGTGGCAGTTTCTCCTTAGAGCCCTCCAGGTACTCATGTATGGTG